AACACGGAACAACACCGTTGCGCACACAAACAGGTTGATAGATCTTGATGGAGCACCAAGTCCCTCGTCCACGGCCTCTATGCTAAATACCGGGCGTCGCAATTAGACGCGCGGTGTAATTCAATTATGATGGAAATAAATGCTGCGCTGTGCTGCGTACGGTTTTGAATAACGTATGGGGAGGTGTTGTATGCTCGATGACGATGGGGGTTGTTCGTCCTTTCGACGATTTTTTTGGAAGATTTTGAGAAGAAATATATATGCTTCTTGAGTGGAAAAGATATATAAGAGATATGCTTCGATTCAATTATGATGAGAATAAATGTGGATGCTGGCTTTGAACGGGGATCTCTCGATGATTTTTTGAAATGGTATTTTGAAATATGTGTGTGTGTGTGTGATGTTTCGTAATGAGTTTAACAATTCTTTAGATCAAAAATGAGAGTGAGTTGAATTTTGGAATTGATTTTCTTTTAGAAAATAATCGTGGCTATCTTTAGTAATTGGATTCAAATGGATATTTTGAATAAAGATTAAATAAAGATTTTTCAAAAATTGATCGAATATTTGGCAATATATATATGTAATACTTTATAACTTGATAGTCTTTTTGTTTTAAAAAAGTCATTTTTAGTTATTCTCCTGATACATAATATCATATCGTCTTTTCTCGTTTTCCTAATTAAAAGCAACGAAGAGAGATGCAACAAAAAGTTGTTCGAGCCTTAAGAGTATTTTTCAATCGATTGAAACTAATCTCTAATAAATTTAACGAAAATAAGTACGATCAGAATTTGAAATATTGTTATAGATAAATTTGTTAATTTTGTGAAATGTGTTAAAAATAAAAATCGGTTAAAAGTTTTAGTAGGGTTTCGTACTATACTATTAGTTATCATTATTCTTGCTTTAAAACATGGATAAACTTACCCTCGAGACCAGTCGACTCAGTACTTGCGAATTCCTAGATCCCAGCCATCTAAGTCACATGCAGCAGTCGAAAAATTCGTTCGTACTTGCATATGGGGGATAAGAAAGGTAGAATCAGGACCTAAAGAGAATAACATAATTTTTCGTGAGAAAATGTCATATTACAATTAATTAATTATTTCATTTTAAATCAATTATCAATTGGTTTTTCATCGATCGATTACTCTTCTCTTCAAAATTATATTTTTCTTTTTGAAAAGAATCAATTCGATTGAAAGACACCAATTATTCATTACCAATCATAATATTATTAATATCGCATCTAGATACAAATGTATCGAGCAAAAAAGCCTCCATATACAACAATATCTTTTTACCAAACCCTCCCTCTTACAAACTCCCTTTTTGAAAAAAAAACAAAATCCTTCAAGAGTCCAGTCAACCTATCACAATCGTCGAACACTTCCGGCAAAGAAGTGTTTCCCCCAACCCGCTATTAATTCTCGTTCCGCGAATACACGGAGGTTAACAACCACGAGTCGTCGTGATTGGCGCCGGCGTAGGGTATCGCCTTAGAAACGAAGTAGGGGAAGGAGGATGACGTAGAGGAAAAAGAGAAAAAACAAGAAAGAGGGTGGGGAGAAAGAAGCTTAAAAAAAAAGAAGGAAAAAAGAAGAAGAAGAAGAAAACGAGAGAGCTAGGATGAGAAGCTGAAGAAGAAGAAGAAGAAGAAGAAGAAGAAGAAGAAGAAGAAGAAGAAGAAGAAGAAGAAGAAGAAGAAGAAGAAGAAGAAGAAGAAGAAGAAGAAGGGAGAGGAGAAGGGTCGGTAAGGGGTAGGGAGCTAAGACGTTGTCCTGCCAACAGGTGGTAGCAACCTCACACTACCGGCTCCCGCTGCTTCAGCTCAACCCCTTTTTCACCCTCCGTGGCAGCAACCACGACGATAACCCGCGGCGACACCCGATAAAACGGGCCGTAGAGAGGGTTGGAGGTCTTCTACGATGCCGGGATAAGTGGGTCGTGGTCGGGGAACGGAAAAGAAAAACACCGGAGGGATTATCGGCCGTGGATACACCATCCTCTCCCTCCTACGCTCTCTCTCTCTCTCTCTCTTTCTTCCTTCAACGGCGCCCCTTTAACGAAAGAAACTTGCTCTTTGCAGGCGGCGGCAGCGCACGTGCACTTGCTACGAGACGACGCTCTGCTTACGATTCTCGGCCAGGACTCTCTTTCTCTCACTTTCTCTTTCAATCTCTATGTACATGTATATATATGTATATCTTCGTTGCTCTCTCTCTCTCTCTCTCTGCTCGTCGTTCTCTGTCTCTCTGTCGACGATACGCTTCCACGAGCGGGATGCTCGAGTGGCCTGTATTTTGCGAGCCGTGGATTTTGCGGTCTCCCGGGTAAAGGACAACTAACCCCCTCTATGTACCACCCCCCGGCTCCTTCCTGGATTGTTGGCTCACGGCGTGCTGTCACGTCGCGACGCTCGGCCAAAGGGAATTGGGAGGAGGGCTCGACGAGCTGGAAACTCGAACTCGTCTCGATTTTTATTCATTTTCGTTTGGCGCTAATTAGCTGTATATATGTATATATATTTCGATATTGCGTTTAATGTTTATTGTAAATTTTAATACGTAATGGACATGAGAAAGTATTATAAAAGTAAAATTAAAGAATAAATATCAAACAATTAATTCTTAATTTCTATTTAAGTGTATGTAAGTTATAACAGAAGTGTTTGAAAATTTTAAATCTATTTAAATGTTTTATTATTTTAAAATTTTGGAGAATTGATTTAACTAAAATCTAATTTTGTATAATCTGTGTTTAATACATTGCAAGTAATTAATTTAGAGATTGACAATAAGAAAAGTTTCATGGGGAAGGAAACAATGCGAGGTAGATAAAAGTTTATGAATTCTTTTCTTTTTCACGAGAGATCTCGAAGAGGAGATTCGATAATTTTGTTTCTCAACGTCCGCGATAATTTTAACGAAGACGCCATTAAGAGGGAAAGACGAGCCGATGGAAAAGATTCGGTCGTCTCAAAGGAAAATCTTAACGAGCGGGAACAATGAACCCATGTGAATTATTACTGGGCACAAAGCGGCCCGTGTTTTCACCGTTTAATAAAACGCGGAATGAATTAAGGGAACGACGATCATTCCGTCTTACCTTCCCTTCTTTTTTTTTTTTTTTTTTTTTTTTTT